TCTCAGTCACACACGATCTAACACACTCTTCTCGGCTTCAGAAGGATGGTTGTGTTGTTGCTGTTTTTATGGGTGTTACACTGTGGATAACCGATGGGGTTTCATCACAGGCTGTGGCCAGAAGCCTGGGAGAGAATGCTCCTCCCTCCGTGCCCTGTGGGAAACACAGCCCAGGACATGCCTACTGGACTCTGGCTTCACCCCTCGCCCACTATGAGAGACCCACCAGCGTGCTCTGCCCAGCCCCTCCTCTGATAGGTGGAGAGAGTCCCACACCCCCTGCAGGCTCCACCAGGATGTGTGAGGCTGTCAGACTCTTTACATGTTCAAATATGTGCTGTAAATTGTGAACAGTGAATGGTTTTCAGGGCTTGGTATCCAGGACTGCTGTCTTTGGGCGGAACTTCCGGAGAAACACAAACTGGTCTCCAGCTGCCCCCAGGAGCTGGTGCGGCTTTTGCCCTCCCCATGGGTGAGAGATCTGGACATCAGATCTCTGCCCAGATTCCCTCTCCCACTCCGGTCCCCAGGGAGGGAACTCATCCCGTACGTCTTTCTCCATATAACAGTGTCTATGTCCGTAAGCATCCCTCTGTAGCACAAGAATGACTTGTCTGTCTTCTCAGAGTTGACCCCTTTCAAAGCTTGTCATCCTGTCTCCTGTCTGCTCCGTGGCATTGCAGCTCGGCTAGCTTCTCAATACACCAAGAACCTCCAGGTAAGGGAAGGAGAAAGAGGTGCCCAATCAGAGCTGGGGAGCAACACCTTGTCTGAGTTGTTATTACTGTTACGGGAGGACACCCTGGAATTAAAATAATACTGTTTCAGTGTCAGTACGTGATGCAAGGACTGTTCCACGGTTGATGATGGGGGGAGAGTTTTGTAAGGAGTTGCTGTTGTTTAGTTGCTCAGCTGTGTCTAACTGTGACCCCATGAACTGTGGCCCACCAGGCTCCTCTGTCCATGGGATTCTCCAGGCAAGAATATTGGAGTTGGTTGACATATCCTCCTCTAGGAGATCTTTCCAACCCAGGAACTGAACCCACCTTTCGTGTATTAGCAGGTGGATTCTTTACTACTGAGCACCAGGGAAGCCCTTCTGTAAGGGGGATGGGTGCAAAATCTCTACTTTCTGCTTAATTTTGCTGGAGACTAAAACGGCTCTACTACAAACCAAAAATAAGGCATATTAATGTAAAACTCACACTATCTAAGTTTTCCTTTATTGGAGAGAACACCCTCAAATAGCACAGAGGTTAGCATCACTCACCCTCCCTATAGTCAAAACCCTCATGTAACTTAGAGTCAGTCGTCCATGTCTGCAGGTTCCACATCTGGGGATCCAACCAACCTGCAGATCTTGTGGTTCTGTAATGTTTTATTGTTCTTCAGTCATTCAGTCGTGTCCGACTCTTTTGAGACCCGATGGACCATAGCCCACCAGGCTTCTCTGTCCATGCAATTCTCCAGGTAAGAATACTAGAGTAGGTAGCCATTTCCTTCTCCAGGGAATCTTCCTGATCCAGGGATGGAACTCAGGTCTCCTGCATTGGCAGGTGGATTCTTTACCACTGAGCCACCTGTGAAGGCCTCTGTAATGTTTACTATTGAAAAAAAAAACATGTATTATTGAATCTGCACAGTTTAAACCTGAGTTGTTCCAGAACCAACTGTATTCCTGATTGCAATCTATGTGCAAGGCCTGGAAGTCTTTCCTGCAGGACAGGAGAACTCTGGACTGTCCTCGGAACACTTTTTGCTGGGCCATGTGGAACGAATGGGGAAAAAATGGGCCAACGTCCCAGCCCTGGGAGAGTTTGGAAACTCCACAGGAAGGGGGGAAGAGCGCAAGTTTGGAAAATACTCAGAAAATTGTGTGTACTGTCCCAAGTGTACCTCCCCTCTGGCCCCTCATCTTTGAGAATTGAACCTACAATTTAAAACCAGTTGGCTCAGTGGTAAAGAATCCACCTCCCAATGCATGAGACGAAGGTTCAATCCTTGGGTCAGGAAGATCCCCTGGAGAAGCTAGTATTCTTGCCTGGAGAATCCCCTGGACAGAGGAGCGTGGCGGGCTATAGTCCATGGGGTTGCAGAGAGTCGGACACGACTGAAGTGACTGAATGACAAGTGTTGGGAGGTATCTGAGGTCACCCCATACTGGCCCCCATAGTGTACCACCCCTTCCTCTGAGCCCAGTGGCTGCTTCGCACTCTGGCTTTTAGTGTTTCTTCCATGTTGTCATTCATCAGTTGTCTCCACTCTGCTGCTACATCTGGCCTCTGAAACCTGCCAATACCTGGCCCAGATTCTACTGCAAAATGAGGTATAAGAAGACTTTTTGGTTCTCAGACCTTTCTGGATTTGGAATTGCAGATAAGGGACTGTGTATCTATACACAGCAGACCCTGTGATGGCTCTGGGGCTGCAGATGAAAGATGTGATCCCTGCCTCCCTGCAGTCTAGAGAGAAAGCAGATGAGGAGGCTGAATTACAATGTGGCATCGGGGCTGACCCCACGGGGCAGGCATAGGGTGCCGCGGGAGGGCCGAGCACCCACATCTTTCATTTGGGTGCCGAGAGTAATGTAAAGGGAAAGAAGAAAATTGGAATTTGGTAGACAGGATCAGGGACGACTTAAAAAAGAGGTTGGCCGTTTTTGAGCGGCTCCAGCTACAGAGCTGCATTAAAAACCCGCTGCCCACCCGTGTCCTCCATCCCTCCACGGCAAGGGCAGGCTCGCCTTCATTTTCTGCCTCCTGAGTGCAAAGTTCTTCTCTTTCGTATAACTTTTTTTTTTTTAGTATATTTTATTTTTTGGACTCACCATGTGGCCTATGGGATATTAGTTCTCCAACCAGGAATCGAACCTGTGCCCCCTGCCCTGAAAGCACAGATCTGAACCCCTGGACCACCAGGAAAGTCCTTGCAAAGTTCTCCTCTGATGAACTCACATGCTCTCCTTCCTGAAGGAGAGGAGCTAGTTCTGCAGACTGCTTCGTTTGACACTGTCTCCACTCCAGGCCCTACAAGCCCAACCCTTGTCAATGACTTTTCTCTCTGCTCCTCAGAGCGCCATCGTAAAACCACACATGGTGATAGCCCACCTGTGGTGACAGTTTCAACTGCAGAGGGGCTTCTGCTTATCCCCAGTCCTCACTGTAACCTGAGTGTGAAGGCGGCTCTTTTTTTTTAATTTATTTTTTTATTGAAGGATAATTGCTTTACAGAACTTCATTGTTTTCTGTCAAACCTCAACATGAATCAGCCAGAGGTATATATATATATATATATATATATATATATATATATATCCCCTCCCTTTTGAAGCTCCCTCCCATATCCCTCCCCATCCCACCCCTCTAGGTTGATAAGAGCCCCTGTTTGAATTTCCTGAGCCATACAGCAAATTTCTGTTGGCTATCTATTTGACATAAATGGAGACCTGGGTTTGATCCCTGGGTCGGGAAAACCTCTGGAGAAGGAAATGGCAACCCACTCCAGTACTCTCGGCTGGAAAATCCTATGAATGGAGGAGGATCCATGGGGTCACAAAGAATCGGACACGACTGAGCGATTTCACTTCACTTTAATGTACGTTTCCATGTTACTCTTCCCATACAGCTCACCCTCTCCTCCCCTCGCCCCATGTCCATAAGTCTGTTCTCCCTGACTGTTTCTCCATTGCTGGAAGGCAGGTCTATGAACATGTTCAGTCCCACAGCCAGGATGCCCCTCAGGCTTTAGAGTTTAGAAAGGATGCCTGACTCCCAGAGTGGCTCACAGAGCACCAAGGACAAATCTGAAATGTACACGTTCCAAAGCAAGTTCAAGTGCTTTCCCTGGAAAGGGGTCTTCAGCCAGGAGAAGAGCTTATACTGATGGTTGCATACTTATTCCAAACTTGATCCATGACTAGCTCTTCTCCAGCCCTCGCTTGGATGGCCTTTGGGCCTCAAGGGAAGGGAGACAGGATGAAAAGGCGAGTGTCTGGGCCCAGGACTGGCAGTGCCCGCCTTCTCCAGCCCTGCTCTGACACTCACACTCTACAACCTGGGAATCTGAACATTCATCCACAGGATGAATCCACAGGAGCCCCACCACACATCCTCCAACAGCATCTCTGTAACAGGCCACACCTGGCCAAAGTTTCACCTCCTCCTTGGTACCCATCACACTCTGCCAGCTCCCACCCTGTCCGTGCCACTGGGGCTGGCTCCTGCACGGTCCCCTTGATTCCAAGGCGCCACACCACCACCCAGACTGCACTACAGGAAGGCAGAGCAATGAGGGTTGCTTTTGAGTCTATTGAGGCAGGGAGATGATACGGGATCATTAAGAGCTGGAGTACTTTTGGGCAGGTGTTCTAAAAGGCAGTGGGTTGGGTTAGAGGGGTGGCTTGAGAACCTGCATTTCTGGGAAGTTCCTGGGTGATGGTGCTGCTGCAGGTGGGGGACGGGGCTTGGGGATGCATCGTATTAGATAGACCCCGAGGGTGTGCACCCTGATGGAGTCATTCCCCATTACAGCTGCAGTTTCTGGAGCTCTGAGGTCCCCACACATCCTACCAGTCTTTTCTGGAACAGACATAAGGGCGTTGGCTCTGTCATTGGGAAAAGGGGGTCCACCTGGCTCGTCCTTATCTTCCCAGGGCTCTGCCTGGAAAGAAAGATTTCCACGAAAGTGGTTTTACCAGCAGAAAGGAAAGGAGGCCAGTGTTTCCTTGTCCCCCTTCCCTGTTGCCAGAGGTGGACTCTATGCCTTTAGAAAGGAACCCCATAAGCCTACGCAGTAGTGTCCTGAGACAGGAAGCAGGTTGTCTTACAGCAAGACCCCAGGGACAGCCATGAGCCCAGGTAGACACATTTTCTGTGTCTGCTGCAACCGTCCGTGACTGGACCGCCCATTTGATGGGCCAGAAACCACGAGGCTGTTGCCCTGCCCTGGCTTCTTGCATAATCAACAACTGTTCCATAAACTCCGGTGAGCGTTCCATCCACCTTTGTGATAAGGCTGGAGGCCGTGATCGCCTGAGGTTTTCCTTTTCTGGGACTTTTATAACCTACCACCCCCTCCCAGCAGCACTTTCCCACCAATGCAGCCATCCCGTCACCTGGAAGCCAGTCCTCAGGAGATCGAGAAGGAGTCTGAGCAGGGCAGAGCCTGAAGACGGGGTGCTGCCTGGGTGTTCGGGTACCCAGAGCGGCTTCAGGGCCCCAGTCATGTGGGTGCCCCAAGCTCTCTGCCCAGGACATTCTGGCGGGAGCCGAGCGGTGCCCCACCCCCGCATCTGGTGGAACATCCCTGCTGACTGCACAGCTGCCATTTCCACCTTCTCCAGGCTGTGCCTGGGGCAGCTCCAGGCCCACGAGCGGGAGGTAGACAAGTTTCCCGTGCCCTCCACTTAGCCACACCGCACAGGGGAGGGGGCGAGCTGGGGTGGGGGGGCTGGGTCTTCCCCTTCCCTCTGGGTTTGCTCATGTAGTAAAACATAGAGGCCCTGCTGTGACTGTTGATCACATCCAAAGCAAAGCCAGGTTTTGAAATTCATCTGAGATTTCTCCCGCAGCTGCAGCCAGAGGGACCTGAGCCTCACCCCCCCACCCCCAAACAGGGCTTGCTGGCTGCTGCCAGGCCTCCCACAGGAGCGACGAAAGCTATAAAGCTGTCTTTCTAACGTCCCGCATCTGCTTCTGGAGGCTAAGAGGGACACTAGGTGGGGGAGACGTGTGAGACTGAAAGAACAAAGGGAGGGGGAAAGAAAAGACCGCATTCAGAAAAAAAAGACCCGTAAAAGGGGAAGAAATTAAAAAAAAAGGAGACTGCTGCAGTCTCTTCCTTTCTCCTCCTGCTCGTTTCAGGAGCTGGTTCCATGTTGCACGTCGTGCACGTGAGTCGGGACCTGGTGACTAAGGCCTGCTTCATCCAGCCCCCGGCGAATAATTGCAGGGGCTCTTCATGCAGGCTGGCAGCTGTAATAACCCTAGAGTCTATGATCTATGGAGTTTATGGGGATTTTTAGGAGATCAGTAATAAGGTTGCTCCAGTAAACAGCCTGGCAGAGCAGTAAAAGATGAGGGCAATTCGCAGGTTGCATTCCAAGTGGCTTTGGGAAGGCAGAGTGGCCGCCACCAGCTGCCCATGGACTTGCTAAGCCTCAACCCTCTGCAGGGAGGAGCAGGAAGGCAGTGTGATGACACCCCTTCCGTTGCTGTTGGCTGGTTTATTCATGACCTGGTGGGGATGGCCCTGCCCCCTGCCCTTCAGGACTCCAGCAGGGAGGGGAGGGCAGGCTGGACTAGGTCCAGCTCCAGAGCTTCTGGGCCAGCCTTCTGACCTCGGGGCCCCTCAGGGTAAAGCACGGGCCCTCCCCAGAGCCTCCCTCTCTGGCTCTTTCCAAGTATGGACGGTCAGGGGTCATCTTGCCCTGAGTTGGACTGGTACACACTCATCATCACTACCGAGGGGTGATCTTCCAAAAACATCAGCCTAAAGAGTGGGTCAAGCACTCAGCAAGGAGGTGAGCCCCCACCTGCGTGGACTTGGGTCTGGGCTGCCTGCCCAGGGCAGCACTGAGACTGGACCACCATTTTGCATCATTTTGGTTTGTGGCCACTGGCAATCTGAGTGACACCTGGACACTGAGCTTCCCAACAAATGCCTTTGGTTGCCAAGAATGCCTCATCAGAACCCTTAAAGTGTTATCCCAAACCTTTTCTCCCTGGAAAATCCCCGCAACCATAGGGCTTCTACTCCTGTGCTGTGCAAGGTCCTTTCACGCATGCACCTGCTTACTATCACATTTGGTAAGAAGTCTTAGGATATCAATAGTCTTTTACATGCCCGCTTCACACGGGAGGAAACTGGTTTAGAGAGCACGTCAGTTACCCGAGGTCACAGCCGTTCCCTCCTGGGTCTGGGACTCAGCGGCAGGCCCCAACACTGAGCCCCAATTCTGAGGATGCTGACAGGAGCGCTGGCAGGACTGAACTGCTGGAGATCACCTCCGGCTACTCTGAGCCTGTGGTCGGCTGTTTACGGAGCTCGTCAGAGCAGCTGCCCTAGGCAGTCATTCCTCGTGGGCTCCAGTGCGGTTTCTATACTCTTCATTTATCCTCGGTCTAGGGGGCAAACATTTAGACTTATTAGCCCCAGGCTGGATGCATATCCAAGAATCCTATGGAAGTCAGTGGATAAGCTTTATTCCATGGTCCCACCAGAGCATACCATGTAAAATTAACCATGAATGTCTCCAGTGGATTTGGGTCCAGAAAGTAATAAGGAGTTAATTCTCAATAAATCATTTGATTCACTGGCTGGTATTTATTCAACTTTTTTTTTTTTTTACTAGATATACTTGCCTAGAGTTTGTGTGGTGGTTACTAAGTGTCAAATGAAAATCAACTGATTATCAGAAATGTATTTAATGAGGGATAATTCTGCAATCACCACCTACACAGATCTATCAAAGTAAATCCTCAATAAATGCATATTTGGGAGCTTGAACTGTTTTTACAGAGCAACTTAAAGAAAAATCTTTCCAGGGGAGTTGGCAGTTATAGAGGAACTAGAGTTCCTTGTTGGGATAACTAAAAAAATGATAGCTTTCTTGGTCTTTTTCATATACAGATTTGTAAATCACATTGTACCAAAAAATAAGAAACAGAAAAAAAGTAGGATTTCTTATCAGTAGATTTAAATTTGTGTGTAATTTATTGATGATGAATGGTGTCTAAATGCCTGAAAACATTCAGAGTTGGCACTGGAATTACCTCTTGGCTCCAAAAAGTAACTCATTTATCATCCCAGAGGGATTTTAGATATTTCCTTGGAAGTAAGTAACAGAATTTCCCAGTAATTTTATTTTTAAAAAATTAGATTTTTTTTTCGGCTGCAATTTAAGCCTGTTTCCTTTAATGAGGCCATTGCAATGATGAAAGCTAGTCAATGACTCTTCTTGAAACTGATGATGCTGATGGTGGTGACGATGGTGACCATCACAATGATGGTGATGATGACGATAGTAACTATTTTTTGAGAATGTTCTATGCATCAGCCTCATAATCTCATTTTATCTTCGTAAACATCCTTCTGGCAGTTTTGTTATTGTTGCTGTTCTTCAGTCTTTACTTAGAAACCACGGGATCTAGTCTTTGATGTAGATCTAAGTCTAGCTTCTCATCAGCTTTGGAGAAGAGTGCTGGGCCTTCAGAGAGGACTGAGGACCTCCGGCCTCAGATGAGGACAAAATGCAAGAGCAGCAACAGCCCCTGGGCGAGGTTTAACCGACTCAACTCTAAGGCCACACCTGAGGTGTGTGAAGACGTGAGACTTTATCCTTCATGTTGGATGCTCACCGCATCACTGGGGAATGAAGAGATTTCACCTTCAGGAAAAGACCTGTGCTGCCTGCAGGCTGTGCCTTCCCCTCTCCGAGAGCCCGACCTCTTAGAAAAATAAGAGTTTGCACTCCGCGTGGCCTCTGTAGTTGTGCTACACCCGGAACCACCCGTGGGAATTTGGACAGCCCTGCACCTGCCTGAACGTTATTTCTGTCATCTGACAGACTCGGAGGTAAGAGTAGGTGATGCGTAAGACTCCTTCCTGTAAAACCACCTGCGGTGCACTTCATCGGGCCAATGGGAAAGAAATGTGGCTGTCCAGATTTCTAAAGCCATGGCCCAGCTCCACTGTTGACCTGTTGACAGCGTACGTGGTCTGTATAGGAAGGGACCAATTTAGGGAGTACTAACTCTGCAAAGCAAACACCCTGATGTTTCTGCTCCAGAACTTAAAAAGGGAAGCACAAAATGACTAGTTATCTTGAGACTGTCATCCACTTACTTTTCACCTACCTGGCCATCTCTATTGTACTGGATTCTAGTTAAACAACACACACACACACACACACACACACACACACACACCAGGTTCTTATCTTTGGTGCTTTTACTGAACGAGGTGATTAACTCCTTGACCTTATGAAGTTCTAACGTGACCTTGGAGAGTAGATAGAATCTTGTTATCTTGTAATGAGTTTTATGGCTTATTTCAGTACATTTTAGCCATGTTTCTCTGGTGATTAAGGCAATTATCTGCCTATGCATTTCAAGATTATGAATCATGAAGCTCTCTCCAGGTACTGACAGGCGCTTGAGAATGCTCAGACCACTTCTCAGCCCATTCAGTATTTGTTCCCACTCCCCACCTCCCATAATCAGACACTACATTCTATTTCTGAAAGCTCCACCCTATACTCAGACACGGTTTTCAAAGCAATACTTTTTAGATTTAATTGATTTAAGTAAGCTTCCTTCTTATCATTAATTGGTGGCATGCACAATGTTTTAATTACTATCATTATTACTTAGGATTTAGGGAAAGAGATCTTTCCATCTCCCACTGCGGTGTCACAGAGGGAAGGGCAATGGTAATCTGAACACAGGTGGTCAGTTTGTCTCCAGGCAGCCGGCACGTGACACCAGGAAATGACCAACACTGTCCCGACATCGGGGATGTAATGTTTACCCTGAATAATCCCTAAGAAGGTCTCCAAGAGAAATGGCCAACACCTCTTGGGTCCCACGCCTCATGCTGCAAAATAAAGTACAGAGAGAGGTCAGGAGTCAGTTGGGATTTACACACCACGATCCACACCTCCTCCAGTATGCTTGCCTGGAGAACCCCATGGACGGAGGAGCCTGGTAGGCTGCAGTCCATAGGGTCACGAAGAGTTGGACACGACTGAGCGACTTCCCATTCTCATTCCCATCCACACCTCCATGCCACCTCCTTTCCTCATATGATGGTTAAGGTGTGTTACTATTACAAAGAGGTAGACTGCAAAGAGTATTTGTCACCAAGAGCAGCTAGGTCCTGAGCCTGGGACACAGTATACCTACAGGAAATTACCTAAAGTATGTATTAAAATCATCATTTCTAGTGAGTTGAAAAAAGAAGCAAACTTATCTATAAGCTACATAAAAGTCAATGTTTCCTCCTAGCTTTGGCCCCAAGACAGCTTGGGATGCTAGTATTTCTACCCAGGATGATGTAGTAAAAAAAAAAAAATAAAATCAGGTGTGAATCTGTGTCCTGTTCCATCACGTACAAACTATTGGGTTGGCCAAAATGTTCATTCTGATTTTTCCATAAGATGTTCCAGAAATACCCCAATGGCCCAAATGACCTTTTTGGCTGATCCAATATACGTCTCTGAACAAACTGTTTGATTCCACTAGGGCTTAATTTAATCATTTATTAAATGGAGGTGATTTATAGAATTCAGAAATTTGGCAAGCACTAAAGAGGTCATGTACGACAGGTGCTCAGCAGACTGGAGATGCTCCTTGTCTGTGGGGCGGCTAACCCCTCGTGGTATTTTTCGTTGCCTGCCCTTCCCTGTTCTAGAAGCTGTGAAGCTCCTCCAAAGTCATCTTCCCTGTGACGTTGGACATTGTAGCTCCGCAAACAGTGTGCTGCCCCCCGTGACGCCATTCTCAAAGGCTGGGGAGGTACTGCGCCCTCTTCCCAGCACTCTCTAATAACCCACTGAAGTCCACCCATGCGCTGAAGAGAACCCTTAATGATGAGACTTTCGAGTTTGCAGTAAGCTGTGAATTTCTCTTTTTGCCCAGAGCTCATATTTTTCCTGCATCAAATGCTTCTGAGTTTCAAGGACATGCCTGGCTATTTCCAGACCCCTCTCCGCGATCCACTTGACCTTTAGCTAAGGAAGGTTGGTAGGGGATATAATCCAACTGATAAATGTGTGAGATTTAAGATGCGTTAGCCCAGAGTTCTCAGGGGGTACCGTGTGGGCTTGAAGGCTAAACTTCCTATGCACAGCCTACGGCCTGGGAGCTCTACGAGCAGTGTCTTGGTGACATGTCCCCTTCCACGTTTCCTGTCTCCATGTAATTCAGGGCTTCGGGCATTATACATGCCTTTGTGAACACATGATAGTGTGAACATGGCCCAGAAGCAGCATATCCTTGTATTTCTTCTATAATATAAAAATCAATACAGAAAACTAGGAAACATGTCTTACTGGGAATAGTAGGTTGAAATTGAAACAAAACTCCTAATGTTGAAAATGCTGAGCTTGAAACCCCCTTTGGAGTTTGTTTCTTTTCCATTTCTCACCGAACAGTCTGGTTGGAGGTGTCAAGGACCGTCTGATGGTTATCACACGCACCATAGAAGTCTCTGCCAAAATGAAGGATTTGGCAGAGTGATTCTAAGTGTGAGACAATACACAAAGAATTCTAGTATCATTTATGCTAAAATGTACTATAAAAAGGTAAAGTATAATAAAAAAATTCTGGAACCTCATCTAAAATCTGCTTCTAAATAGACCATGGCTCTGCCATTTTCTAAGGAAATAACTGATTTGCAGGAGTGGAAGTGCTGGACATATTTTCAAATTGATAGTTGGGAGAGGAAAAGGAAATAGGTTGAGGTCTGGGGAAAAAGATGGATTTTCAGAGGTGGTTTTTTTTTTCCCCCTGTGAAGTTTAGAAGTTGCGTGTGTCAGAAATAGAAACAAAGAGGGCTGTGTAGTACAATCGAGGTTTTTTGGTCACAGTCTCTGCCTTCCTCCTGGGCTCCACTGAGGCTGTGTGAAGCAGCCCTGTGTCCCATGTAATAGGATGAGCCAGGCTGTGTTCCTGTAAAGCTTTGTCGTAAAAACAGGTGACAGGCCAGACTTGGCCCACAGGCCAGAGTTTGCTGACCCCAGTCTTAGATAATCACTGTGTATTTGCCCCTTGAAGCCTATCCATAAAACAAACTTTCATGCTTGTCTATTTCTCCATGCTGACTGTGTAGATACACTTTTTAGTATATGCTTCTGTACGTACACATTTGCAGTTAAGCTTGCTTGGTCTTTTAAAAAGAAAGATATTTTTGATGTGGACCATTTTTCAAGTCTTTATTGAACTTGCCACTATATTGCTTCTGTTTTATGTGTGGGGTCTTAGATCCCCAACAGGGATGGAACCTGCACCCACTGCTTTGGAAGATGAAGTCTTAACCACTGGAGCATCAGGAAAATTCCAGTCTTG